AGCCAGGACTTGAGGAATGTAGATTCCTGAGAGAAGGGAAGTGAGTGGGGTGAGCCTGATATTTCCCACCACCTTCCTGCATGAGGGATGTGCTGGCTCCTAGAAATTCCGGAGGACAAGCAGTCTCAGGAGGTCAGGAGTGAAAAATAATAATGATGGAATGAAATAAAAATGGAATTCAGGACTATCAAGTCAGCTGTAACGAAGGAGCCAAGAACCTCGAGCGACGGAAACCACAGGAAGGGAGTCATTATTCTGCACCTCTTTTTCCTTTCAAAGCATTTGCCAGGATTTAAATTGCCTGGGCCCAGAGCCTAAGGAAACAAGCTGGAAACAGCAGCTGAGAGGCTGAAAAGCTAGACTGAGCTTTTGACGATCCCACAGTGTAGGGGAGACAGAAATTAGAAGTGAGAGCAGGGAAGAGGCCCCTTGGTGGGTATCTCAGCTTCCTCTTCAGAAGGGCTCTGCCCGTAAGTCAGAACAAACCAGAAATAACCAGTCATCACAAAGATTAAGTGCAGCCCCGATTATCCCACGTACCAACTGGAGCAAGGCCATGGGCCCGTGCTTTGCCTGCCTCCAGGAGCAAACAGATTCCTCCCTGAGTGAGACAATCTTATCCTCATTCTCCACCTTTACCAGACATGCCAGGAGACAGAACCAAATGACCAAAGAGAGAGAAGAAGAGAAAACAGACAATAGCAATAGAGCCACATCTCATGCAAACGTCACAAGGGTTAGACATGGTCTGTAAAATACCTGCGATGGATAATTGCAGGAAAATCGATGTCAAGGTGGAGAGTTTCACCTGAAAACTAGAACTTACAAAAAAATGACTCAGATGGAAACTCTAGAACTGAAAAAACAATTCCTAAAATGAATGTAAGATATAATTCAAACAGATGAGACACAGCAAAAGAGAGGATGGACCAGGTAGTGTCTATCTCAGGAAGTTGGAAAGATGACAAATTTCCAACCCAAAGAAATGACAAGGAAGGAAATGATGAAGATGAGAGCAGGCCCTGAGAAAGTAGGACAATTAGCTGGGTCTGCAGAGGAGGGCCCAGGAACAGGCAGAAGCCTGGAGCAAAGTGCTGGCTTTGCCACTGACTTGCTGTGTGACCTTGGACAAGTCACTTGCCTTCTCTGAACCTTAGTTTCCCATTTCAGGAAAACAAATGTGATTGCTCATTTTGCTCAGTTGATGTGTGGGCCCCATGGAGAACAGTCATGGCAGCTCTTTGTTAGAAGCGCTGGCATTGCCGACAGCGTGCCATGTTCACACAGTCATTTCACCAACGATGAAGGTACAGGAGGCTCTGCAAAGAGTTCAGAGGGCATCCTAGCCTTTGAGAACTACTGTGTAGTTCAGCGGGCGTTAACCAAACATTCACGAACCCATACTGTTCATTCATTTGGTTTTCCCAGGATTTGAAACCACTCTTCTCTCAGTGGCTGGCAATTGCCCCCGTCTTCCTACTGCCGGGGGAGTCTCTGTCTATTAGGGACCCCCCTTCGGGAAAATCCTTACTTTCTGAGTCCTTGAAAGGACACTGACATGTGTCAGCGTCGTGCTGGTGACCCCATTAGACTGTCACAGACACGTTCTCTGTGCCTTCTCCAGTACGCCAGTCTGTGGCTGGGAGACGACTGTCTCTCCGCACACAGGACGGGGAGCTGTGTCCTCTTCCCCTCCCTCTCCTCTTTCTCTTTGTTTCGGTGAGGCGTGGCCAGCCTCCCTCACCGTGCGCTTGGCATGCGGAGATCTTTGGCCCATGGCGTCTTGGCCGAGGCTCCGTCTCAGGGAGCCAGGGCTGGCATTCCCCGTGTGTTGCAGGCTGCCTCGCTCAGTAAAGTACAAGAAGTCACGCTTTCTTCATTTCTTCCCTGGGGCTGGGGAAGAGGTAGAGGGCTGTTCCTGCTTTTCCACTGCAGTGTTTTCCAAGGCTTCCAAAAGTGCTAACTGATACCAGCCTGGAAGTGTCTGCTGGGAGGTGGGATGAGAACGGGCATTCTGGCTTTGGAGATGCAGCTACCACGTTGTGCCAGATGGGTGGGAGGAAGGTGTCACGATCCCCCGGCTTCTGCAGCTCAGCCTTGTCCTCTGTCCCAACTCTTACCCCTCCGCTCCCCTTCCAGCATTCGCGTAGAACATTAACATCTCTCTCAGGGAGCTGGGACATTGTAGGGAACCTAACCTCTCCTTTGGTATTTACTTGATCAACAAGGCTCAGTGGCCATCCATTTCAGTGAAGTTGTCTCTGCTCTTGGCATCAGGATGGAGTCAGTAAGAGCAGCAGTGGACCCTGCTTATTACAAAGGCAAGTGTAACGAGACCATGCGCCTCCTCTGCTCAGACCCTGCAGTGCGTCTCCACGTCATCCAGAGAAACTTGGACTTGACCGTGGCTTCTGCAGCTCCGCACACCCTCCAGCCCACTACAGACAGGCCTGCTCCGCTCTGATCCCACCACCTACTGCTCCCCGATCCAGGGGCACCGGCCTCCTTTCTCCCAAAGTCACTGGGGCCTTGCGGATGTCAGGGATGCTCCCACCTTAGAACTTTTCACGCTAGATCACAGCCACCTCGCCCAGAGCCTGGCACAGCACAGGGCCCCAGCAAATACAGAGTGCGTCAATCAAATGAATTGACAGACCTCACTCAACTGACAGCTCAGAGAAGTAGACAGAATCCATGCTGTCAGCCCCATTTTCCAGTTGAAGGAATGGGTCAGAGAGGGTAGGTAACTTGTTCATAGTCACACAGCAAATGGGTCTTGCAGCCTGGTGAGAATCGGAATCTTCCGACTCTCAGTCTGTGCTTTCTTGCTCAGATCTCACCTCTGAATCAGTGGCCCTTGCCTTTTCCATCATTCACCTCTGCGTTCCTTCATGCCACGTGTGATGCAGGTGACAGGGCAAGGGCAGTGAGTGAGACTGCGTTTCTATCCTCACAGAGCCCGCAGCCCAGGGAGGAGACAGATAAGTACACAGAGCATGTGGAGCAGAGTCAGGACCCCGTGGAAGCCAGAAGAGGCCTCAACTCAGGCCAGGAGTGGGCAGGCCTCCCTCCAGGAGTCAGCGCCAGCTGAGCCCTGTAGAAGGAATCCAAGCCAAGCGGGGTGGGGTGGATTTTCCAGACAGCAGAGCAACTGTGACCTGTGGGTTAGTCATGTTGCTTCAGGTTACGAGCAATCTGCTTTAAACAATAAAGTGGATTTATTCGCTCATGTCGCCAGAAAGTCAAGGTGCAGGGTGGGCTGCAGGGACGGCTAGACAGGGGATTCAGCACCACTTGTCTGGCCCCGTTCAGTCCTCACCTCTTCTAAGGAGCTAGCGAGATGTCCAGCGTGACCATGACCTCCATCCACATCCAAGTGGCAAAGTGGCCAGGGCCAAAGAATGTGTCGAACCTCCCTACAAAATCAAGTGTTTCACTCTGGATGAATCAGGCTACGTATCCATCCCTGGACCAGTTACTGGGGGAGGAGGGGTGGGAAGGCTCTGCCTGCCAGGTTGAATCAGAGCCCGCCCTTGAGGATAAGCAGGGTAATCTAACTCAGATGGCAGAGCTGCTGCTGCTGGAGGAACAAGGGCGGCTGGAAGGGACAACTCCAGACACCATTAGGCTGTCGGTACAAGTCAGGTCGTCATGACAAGTAGAAATGAAGCAGTAAGCAAATGGAAAGACCTTGCCCCTGGGGCTGAGATGCTGGGGAAGCAGTAGGACGTTGCAACACGTCTTGAGCCCTGGGCCTCTCCAGGAAGGCACTGTGGATTTCATCTGATTTTTGAGCTGTCCAGAAGGTAATCGGTCTCCCTCCCATGGCCACTTTCCTGGTGGGGGCGGAAATAAATTTATATATATCTCTCCTGCCCATTGATAAGTCTGCATGTTGAGGATGGGGAAGGAATCGATCAGACAAACAGAGACGCACATTCCAAGCCAAGGGCGAAGTGCTCATGTCCCAGTGCAGGGGAGGGCCCGCAGCTGCGCTCTGCAGAAGCCCAGAGAGCCAGCGCAGCGTGGGGACCTGTGTTACGGGCATCTGAGGAGGCCTCGCTGGCTTTCTTTGATTAAATAACCTCCCCTTTCTCTATATCCCTCCAACTGTGGTCATGTGGAGACCAGTTAACAGACAGGGTGTCCTGTCCGGGGCAGAGCCGCTGCCCCTGTTCCAGGTGCACATAAATCAGCGATTGTGGATCTGGGTTCAAACCCCGCTTCTCCTTTTCCCCATGACCTTGGGCGAGTCATTTAACCTCTTTGAATCTTAGTTTCTTCTAGGGACAACCTGGGAAACTCCTATCTAACTGACAGTATACTTTGTCCATTATCTAAGGAAATAGACAATATATGAATGTACCATCCTGTCTGGCTCTTAGTGGGCCATCCAAGAATATTCATTCACACCTTGAAAATGGAAAATTAAAGACTAGCAATTGCTTCGTGAATACTGGAAACACGGCATATATCATTTTGTCTTATCTTTATAATCATTCTGTAAGTGGAGGTGTTATTACGTCATTTTACAGAAGGGGAAACTGAGGGTGCCGAAAGTGAAATAACTTTCCCAGAACTGTAGAACTTCTAAACCAGTACTTGAACCTAGGCCAGGCGTAAGCCTGGGCCACCTGCTAAGCAGACCATTTTTGTTGTTGGTGAACTTCAGAAAATCCAAGAGGGAGAGGGAGAGTGGCACACGCTCGCATCTCTGTGTGCCCAGCACTGTACGTGCATCATTTACTCATTTCACAAATTTTAGTTGAACGCTTAAAGGCACTGGGTTCTGGCTGTGGGAAAGATGTCCCTGGGCAATCTTGCAGAATCGGCATCACCATCCCATTTTAGACATGCATATACTGAGGCTCAAGAAGGTAGAAAATTGTCCATAGCCACCTGCCACATCGGCTTGACAAGAGAGCAAAAGATGATGGGAGGAAGTGGAGAGAGAGAAACATTAGAATTTCATCCTGTTTTCTTCCTCCTTTTCTGTGCAGATGACAGACATCCCTCGGTGCCTTTGTCAAGCCAGCCACTTCGGCACCACACCTCTGGTGACAGCACGGGCAAGACCAAGTCCTAATTAAGGATCATCCCGCACCATCGTTTCCAAAGGACAGTGGCAAAGGCAGCCTCCCTCTGTCCTGCACCGTGACGCTTCCTTCGAGGTCCTCACCTCCGAGGGACCCTAGACTGTCACAAGGATTAATTACACTTCAACCCCTTTGGTTGGAAAAGGATATCACTGTTATTAAGTTTGATTAAAGCTTCATCAAGAGACATTATCGGCTGTTTAAGAGTTGCTGACAAAGCAAGCATCTTTATTTCCCAAAAAGACAAATTGTATGTCAGCAGAGCCAACCCACCACGAGTGGTCCACTTAGCCTTTGAATGGCACGGGTGGTGTCCAGCACTGCCAGGTGGCTGTCGCCCCATGGAAGTGAAGTTGGCTGTGTGAGGCTTTGAGGCTCCCTGGGAGTCCCTGCCTTGCCTTGTGATCGAGCTTCTGTCTCTGGGCTCTTTCTCCCGAGCTCCTCCTCAGTTAGGTGTGATTTGCTCCAGCCCATCCCTGGGAGGCACCCGCCACCCCATCGGGAAACCAGAAATGGCGGCCCCGAGGAAAAAAACTCTCAAAGTCCTCACCTTCCTCGTGCTCTTTATCTTCCTCACCTCCTTCTTCCTGAACTACTCCCACACCATGATGACCACCATCTGGTTCCCCAAGCAGATGGTCATCGAGCTCTCGGAGAACTTGAAGAGGCTCATGAAGTACTCCAACCGGCCCTGCACCTGCGCCCGCTGCATCGGACAGCGGAAGGTCTCCTCCTGGTTCGATGAGAGGTTCAACTGGTCCATGCAGCCGCTGCTGACGGCCAAGAACGCGCTCCTGGAGGAAGGCACTTACAGCTGGTGGCTGGTGAGAGCTGGGGCTGAGTGTGGGGCTGGGGGCGAGGGAGCGGGGTGCCTGCTGCCAAACACTGGGGCCGTGGGGAGCACCTGGGGCCCTGCCAGGCGCTTGGCAGGATTCAGACTACTGGTCATTCATACATTCACTTATTCAGCATCTACTTTTTATTCTTATTTTTTATTGAAGTATAATCGATTTACAATGTGAGTTTCAGGTGTACAGCAAAGGGATTCGGTTAGTCATATGCGTACATACATAAATTTTTTTTCAGTTGCTTTTCCATTACAGTTTATTACAGAAACTGAATATAGTTCCCTGTGCTATACAGTAAGTCTCTGTTGTTTATTTTATGTACGGTAATGTGTATCTGTTAATCCCAAGCTCCTAATCTATCCCTCCCCCTTCCTTCCCCGCTGGTAACCGCATGTTCAGCACCTATTTACTGAGGATCTGCTCTGTGGAAATCAGAGCAGAGGGCTGTGTATTAGTTTCCTGTGTGTCTGCAGTAACAGAGGCCCACAAACCGGGTGGCTGAAAGCAACAGAAACACCTTCTCTCACAGCTCTGGATGCAGAAGTCCGAGATCAAGGTGTCAGCCCCTTGGTTCCTCCCCGAAGCTCTGTGGGAGAATCTGCCCCTTGCCTCTCTCCCGGCTTCTGAGGGTCCCTGGCAATATATGGATTCCTTGGTTCATAGACTCCAGTCTCCGCCCCCATCTTCACATGGCCCACGTCGCCGTGTCTCTCTGCATCTCAAGCTCCTCTCTGCCTTTCTTTATCAGGACACCTGCCATTGAGCTTAAGGCTCACCATATATCCAAGGTGACTTCATCGCAAATTCCTTAACTTAGTTACGCCTTCAAAGACCCTTTTCCCAAATAAGGTCATGTTCACAGGTTCCAGGGTTTAGGACTTGGACATAGCTTTTTGGAGGCCACAATTTAACCCACTACAGGTATTGAGAAGCAAAAAAGAGACAAGATCTTTATTCTTGTGGAATTATATTCTGGCAGAGAGAGACAGATAAGAAACAAATAAGGAGTTGGGGATTAACAGACGCATATTACTATATATAAACTAGATCTACAACAGGAACTACTGTACAGCACAGGGAACTATATTCAATTTCTTGTAATAATGTATAATGGAAAAGAATCTTAAAAAATGTATGTATGTGTATATATGTATAATTGAATCCCTTGGCTGTACATCTGAAACTAACATTGTAAATCAACTACACTTCAATAAAATTAAAAAAATAAATAAACAAGATAGAATCAGCTAGAACTGTTCCAAGGAAGACCAAAGAGGTTTGGGACAGGGAGATGTTTAGGTCAGGGGCCTCTGTAAATGGGGTCATCTGGAAGATCTGTGAGGAGGCAGGGCTTGAGCTGATACTCAAAGGTGGAGAAAGCATCAGCCATGGAAGGATCAGGAAAAAGTCCTGCAGGTCATGGAACAGCACGTGCAAGAGCCCTGGGGCAGCATCAGCTTGGTGTGTTGGAGGAGCAGAGAAGCTGTGTGTGGCCGTGAGTGGGAGGAGGCTGCTAAAAGAAGGGGTCCGGGAGTGGGCAAGACCCATGGTTAGGAGTCTGGGGTTGGTTCTAAGTACAACAAGAAACCACGGTAGAGTTTTAATCAGAGGAGTCCCATGATCTGATCCAGTTGTTTGGAAGGTCATTCTGGTTGTTGATTGCAAAACAGATTGAAGGGGAGTGAGAAATATCCATTCGTTCAAGATTTATTGAGAACCCACTATATGCCAATATATTGAGATGGAAAAGACAGCCCTCCCTTTCCGGGTTGCAGAGATGATGAGGAGAGAAGGGAAAACAGACAATCACAGGCAGGGTAATAAGCGACAGGGACCTGGGGTCCCTGGCTTTTGCTCCTGACTTTCTATATCTTATCAAGAGTGATTTGGAGGAATGGCTTCATTTCACTGAGTCTCAGATTGAGGTGAAAATCGTCACCTCACCAGGTTTCTCTACAACACTGGAAGCATTAGGTTTCAATATTTTTATTCATTTTTGCTGGTTTGATGGGTAAGTAATAATGAATTTGCATTTTTTAATAGTTATAAATGCTGAACATTTTCCCGTGTGGCTGTTATCCTTTTATCAACTTGTCCTCTCACGTCCCCACCCCCAGCCTTTATCTGAAGTCCTTTTCTGGAATTTATTCTCTGGTGGCCACTTGGAAGGGATTTTGCTGGGGAGGGGAGAAGAGGTGGGGCCTCGTGAATAGCAATCAACAGCAAGGAGCAGAGGTTTAGAGCTTCTGGGTTCTTTGATGACACAAAGACCACATGTTTTGAATAAAGAATTGGGACAGTGCGCCTGACATGCATTCCTGTTCCTCCAGGCAGAGGCACAGAATATTGAAATCAGAGCCATCCTGGGAATTCCACGGCACACCATAGCTCTGCATAAAGGCCCCAGACAGCCAGCACGACCTCTGACAGAGCCCAACCCCAAACACAGAGCCCCTGCCTTTAAAATGTGACAAGCCTGGTGGGAAGCCCTTGCAAGACGGTCAGCTGGCAGGGAGCCAACAGAAAGTGACCAGTGCCACGTGTCAGAGGGGCTGGCCCTATACACGCTCTTCCCCAGACCTACCTGGAGCCTTGGTTTGGAGCAGACCTCTCAAGCCTGCTCCCTCTTCTACTTCATCTCCACGAGGAGGTGAAGGACTTGACCGAGGTCACTCAGCCATCAGTACAGAGCCACGCCTGGGACTTGCCCACTTGCCCCAAGGCACCCTTGTTTCCCCATCTTCTTGTCCACAGCTGCCCCTCTAGACCCCATGGGAGGGAGGAAAGGGGTGGGAGACCAGGAAAGAAGCTGGGAGGAGCTGGAGGCTGACAGCTTAGGTGCCTCCCAAGGCACCTGAAATCCCTGGCATCCTGTAGCGTGAGGGTGATGCTGGCTATCACCCCATTGGGCACAGACCCCTCCCCCTCTGTCTGATCCTGGCGTGGAGCCCGTGGCTGAGCCAGGCTCATAGGAGTCTTCAGTCCTTCCCCAGGGCTTTGAGAAACAACAATAGGTCTGATATCAGGGCCCCTAGCTGGCCAGGGGGCGAGAGGAGTCAGGAGAGGACCACGGGGTTCCAAGCTCTCATCCTTCTCTGAGTTTCACATTTCTCATCACTTACGTGGGCATCAAAATTCCACTTAGCAGAGGAGACCGTGCCGGTGAGAGCTCCGGCAGGAATCGGAGGACAGGAGGCATCACAAGGGATCGCTGTCAGGTCGACTTGCAAATCACCAGCACGCCCCGCAAGCAGGGCAATTGATGGCTTCACGTGGTGCTTCCTCCAGGGAAGGGCTGGACCTGTGGTCCTCTGTCAGCCTGCCCACCCTGTGGCCCTTGCCTCCAGTCTCTGCCCCAGACGCCGGGACGCGGGTCCCTTCTCCTCCAGCCAGCGTTTCCAGTTTTGAGACCGCAGAATGTTGAGTTCCCTTCTCCGCCTGCCCCAAACTCAGGAAGCCCAGGGGAGCATTGAAAGGGAGAGGGAGCCTGCTGCCTCCTGGCCCTCGTGTCTGCCCACTGCGGGCGTCTTTCCGCCCGAACGTCTGTGCTCAGCCCACAAATACACGATAGCACCTCCTACCCCACGCCAAGTGCCAGCTCTGCTCGCCTCCCCTTCACCACAGCTCCTTGAGGATGTAAATATTTTGGTACCTTTTGTACCTCCTGGGGTTGCCTCGCTGGTGACAGGCAGAGTCAGGTCACGTTCCAGTTAAAGGACCCGCTCTGCTGTCAGGCCGGGGTACTCAGGAGCCCGGAGCTGCCCCAGGAGATTTTATCAGAAGCAGGTGTTTAATCTGAATATTGTTTTGATCTTATTGTGATAAAATATACACAACATAGTATTTATCACCTTCCCTACTTATAAGTGTGCGATTCTGTGGCATTAAGAGCATTCACCACATTGGAGGACCATCACCACTGCCTATGCCCAGCACTTCCATCTCCCCCAGTAAAACCCCACACCCCTTAAATCATAACCCCCCTCCACTACTCACTCAGCCCCAGCAACCTCCGTTCTACTTTGTCTCACTGAATCTGGGGGTTCTAGTACCTCCTGTAAGTGGGTCACACAATACGCGTCCTTCCGTGTCTGGCCTATTTCACTTAGCATATGTCTTTTCAAGACTCATCCATTTGTGGCATAGACTGAAATCTTCCTTTTTTATAATTGAATGATATTGCATCATATGTACATTCTACATTTTGCTTATCTATCCATCCACTGATGGACACTTGGGATGTTTCCGCCTTTTGGCTGTTGTGAATAACGCGGCTATGAACCTGGGAGAACCGACACCTGTTCATGACCCTGACTTCAGTTCTTTTTAATACTTAGGAATGGAATTGCTGAGAAACCACCAAACAGCTTTCCACAGGGACTGCACCATTTTACATTCCCACCAGCAAACCGTGAGGGTTCCAGATCCTCCAGGGCCTCACCAATGCTTGTTTTCCCTTCTTCTTTTATGATAACCATCCTGGTGTGATGCTTATAAGCAGAACTGTGTCTATGGTCCTAGTATTGCTGCCTGTAGCGTCCCCCTGGCATGCGCAGTGTCTGAGACTAGAGGAGAAGTGAAGCAGTTTTAACTAGAGGACCGTGTGGGTCTCCTGGGGTGCCTGTCTTTGGGGGGTGCTGATTCCTTCCCTGCTGGCTAGGCCCTGGGTGCCCAGGGAGCTCCCTACACCAGTACCCCTGCCACTCACCTCCTGGACAATGGCCAAAGCAACTACTAACTTCTCCTTTCTCTCCCAGCCACTCCCCTTTCCTGGGGCTGAGAGTGACTGGTGGGACTCACGCTACAGCCACCTCCCCCGCCCCAACCCCAGGGACTGGGCTGTCCGAAAGTCAAGGTTCCAAGGGTGTGAGGCAGGCGTGGTGTTGTGGGGGGAACTCTGGGTGGGTTTATAAAAGCCCAGCTGCAAATCCTGCTTTGGATTTGGGACACGTGGCTCAACCCACCTGGGTCCCAGAGCATCCTTCCTCACCTGTAGTCGAAGTGACACAGCCCTGGTGTGGGACATGGGCAGATGCGATACTTCTTAGGAAACCTCTCCGGGTGTCACTGCGCCAGCAGGTGGTTGCCATGCAGCGTGGCTGAGCTCCACCTGGGGTGGTGGGTCGATGTGGGTGTGCAGGGCTGGCCTCAGTAAGATGACCGACTTGTCCTGTTTTTAGCTCTGAGAATCCTGCATCCAGGGAAAGCCCTCAGTCCTGGGCCAACCAGGTGGCTGGTCACCCTCAGATAAACCCTGTCTTTGTCCCCACCTGGTGGGTCAGGGAGGTCCTGGGGCAGCTGACCTCTGGCGTGGTCGTAAAGGATGAAAACAACTTGCTAGGCAAACGTCGGATGCCTTGGTGCATCTGGCAGAGGGCTCATTCTTGGGTCTGGCTGGAGCCCAGTGGTCCTGGGCTGCAGGAACTGAGGGGCGGGAAGGCGAGGGGAGCAGAGGCAGGGAGGCGCCCTGGAGGGTCACCCAACTCTAATCCCACGTGCTTAATCACTCCAGTCAGTCTCCTTGCCTCAAGAGGCCAGAGCTGTACGGAGCACATAGTAGGTGCTCAGTAAACATGTACAGAATGAATGAATATCTCCTGCTTTCCCATTTCCCTGAGCGGCCCTGGAGTTCCTGGCTGGGGTGCTGGCTGTCCGAGCTGCCTCCACCTCCAGGGGCCCAGCAGCAGGGACCAGAGTCCGCACAGCTCGGCCGACCTGTGTCCTTCATCCTCTGCCCACAGAGGCTCCAGCGGGAGAAGCAGCCCAGTAACCTGAACGACACTGTCAAGGAGCTCTTCCAGGTGGTGCCTGGGAACGTGGACCCCCTGTTGGAGAAGAGGTCGGTGGGCTGCCGGCGCTGTGCCGTCGTGGGCAACTCGGGCAACCTGAAGGGCTCCTGGTACGGGCCTCAGATAGACAGTCACGACTTCGTGCTGAGGTGAGCGTTGGCCCCCAGCCCCAGAACTGTGGGGCATCTTGGCTCAGGGTCAAGACCCCAGTCCGCGTGTGCCCGGACTTACCTGAGGACCCCAGGACCCCCACTGCACCCTCTGGGCCTGTCTCCCCATCTGCAATTGGCAGGATGGAGATGGACCCGCAGAGAGGAATCCGTACACAGAGGTCCCCGGTGGGCTGGGACCTTGGCATTGCGAGGCCTGGTGAGAGGGCAAGATAAACTTGAAGACTCTTGTGTAATCTTTAAAACCCATCCTTGGTTTGCAATCTTGGCCGTAATATAACTGTATACTTTTAAAGTAAAGTATATTTCCCTGCCACCAAGTAACAGATGTCCCAGGAAGACGTCCTTCATCTCTCCCGGGTGTCCTGTCACCCCCACCACTCACCCGGCCCAGGGCCACAGCGCCCCAGGGTGAGAAGCTCAGGCCCCCCCTACCCAGGCACCTTCTAGAATCGTCACCTGTCTCTGTGATCTCTGACGTTATGTCTTTAGACCACTCACCTGGCCTCTGGGAGCCTTGGTGTCCCTGGAAGCCAGTGGGAGTGCTCACGGTGAGGGGGGAAGAGTCAGGTTCAGAGTCAGACAGGCTGAGCTCACTCTGTGTCCTGGCACAGATTCTTGGCACTCATATTTCTTCGACCATAAAAACAGGACCACACAATACCTACTGGACACTTATCATTAAGGGCTAGCGCGGCGCGGCTCTGGGCTAGGACAGTGCCTCGCACATGGTAGGTCATCGCTGGTGGCGATGGGTAGGCTGACTTGAGATCATAAATGAGAAAAAAGTAACAAAAGCCTTTGAGCTGGGCCTTCGTTGCCTCGGTTTTACAGGAGTGGAAGTTGGGGCCGGTGAGAGGGGCGCCTGGGCTGAGGCCGCGCGTGCGCGGCCTCGCGGAGCTACCGCTGACCCTCAGGATCGGGGCCCATGGCGTGATGCATGTCCCCCCGCTTCCGCTCCCAGGATGAACAAGGCCCCCACTGCGGGGTTTGAGGCCGACGTCGGGAGCAAGACCACCCACCACCTCGTGTACCCTGAGAGCTTCCGGGAGCTCGCAGAGAACGTCAGCATGGTCCTAGTCCCCTTCAAGACCACCGACCTGGAGTGGGTGATCAGCGCCACCACCACGGGCACCATCTCCCAGTAAGTCCCTTCGGGGCGCCCGCTGCTCCTCCTTGTTGAGTGGGGGCCTCTGAGCATCCTGCTATGCTGTTCCCCCCAGCCCAGCCATGCCGGTGCTGTTCCTCCACCGAAACACCTCCCCTCCCCAAGCCTCCTCCTGGAAGGCAGAGCCTCACTACCCTGAGGCCACCTCCAGACCTCAGGTCTTCTTGGTCCCTCTCCTCCCATCATTCTAATGCACCCCAAGCTCCCGCCTTCCTCCTTCTCCTCACTTGCCCCCTGAATAGACCCCCCAGGTTTGCTTCCCAGACCCAGACACCCTGGAAACTCCTCGGTAAGGGAGACCCGCTGGAAAGGACTCAGTGTGTGTTGGTTCTGACCCCTCCCTAATCTCTGCAGCGCCCCCGCAATGAGGACAGCCCTCCAGCTTCTCACCCTGCCAAAATAGCCCCGACTTGGTTGGGGGCCCAGTGGGGAGTTGGGGTGTGTAGCACATGGGCTCTGGCAGGAGTCACCATGCTGCCTGGAGCATCAGGGAGCTCATGTCTTCTGTTGTGTTCCGGGCACTGTGCTCGACATTGGCACGTGTCTCCCTGAATTCACCATAGTCCTTCTCATTACCTCCGTCCTCAGGGAGACATGGAGGCTTGGCCTCTATTCAGAGCCAGGCTGGCCCATTCCAGCCTGAAGAGCAGGGGCTTCACTGTCTGGATGGCCAAAAGCCCCCTTGTCTGAAGCCCGGTTGGAAGCCTGGGGGATTCAGGTGCAGGAAACTGGGGGGGCTGTGCTCTCAGGAGAAGGGCAGAGAGGGAGGTGGGCATGGACAGGGGAAGAGCTGGGCCAGGCCAGGTGTCCTTCCACTGGGTCCCATGGGCTCTAGAGTGAGAATTGTTAGATGCAATGGGAGGCCAGGTGGCTGGGCATTTATTCCTTCATCTTGGAGGCACGTGCAATCTTGCAGATGGAAAGGGGGCCGTCGTGGGCCTGATCAGCCGGGGGATGGGTGCTGTGCTCCTGCAGAGGCGAGGGCTTGGAGCCATCCCCCTTCTTAACCTTCTGGGAGAAGGTGGCATAAAACAGCAGAAGGTCCTCAAGTTAGTCACGATCGCCCTCTGGTGTCTATGTTGGGCCAGTGCTGAGGAGGTGGAGTCTCGCCCCATCTGCCTCTCCAGCCTCGCCCCCAGAGCTGCTGCCCAGGCCGCCGGCCCCTCCCCACGTTAACCACCCGCTCCTTGTTCTCCTCCAGCACCTACGTTCCTGTCCCCACGAAGATCAAAGTGAAAAAGGATAAGGTGAGTCGAGGCTCAGGTGCCCTGTCCGCTGAGCTCAGGCTCGGTTTCTAAAGCTCTGCGTGATGACAGTGACATCTCCCCGCTCTGCCAGAATCTGGCTGTGGAGAGCCCCGGGGCCGGGGCTGGTGAAGGTGGTGGCCCTCAACCTGGAGAGTGGAGAGACAAACCCTGGAGAGGTTCCCCAGGTGGGGACCCTGGACTAACAGCTCCACCCGAGAGCTTACCACCAATGCACGTCCTCAGGCCCACCCCAGATCTGCTGGATCAGAAACCCCGGTTTTTACCAGGCCCTTGGGATGCTGATGCAGTTTGAGAACCACTGCCGTACTGTGTGAGCATCTCAGAACCAGACCTCGCCTCCCGTCTCTCCATCTCTCCATCTTCCCAATGGGCCCTGGTACAGGGTTGGCTAAGACACAGGCAGAGGGCAGAGGGATGAAGGAAGTAAAGTGTCCATCACACCAGACCTTTGCACACACTGTCATGGGAAGGTGGAGAGGTCAGGTTCAGAGTGGTTGGGTTACTCGCCCAGAGACACACAGCTAGTTCATCATGTGGCTGGAGCTGATGACCTCCATTTGCTGGCTGTGTGACAGTAAGCACGTCACTTAGCCTCTCTGATCCTTGGTTTCCTCACCTGTAACACAAGGAGAGGAAAAGCTAGCACGTGGGGTCATTTTAAGGGCTGGAGTTCATTCAGGCCCACATCAGGCAGAACGGGTACCTCGGTGTGTCTTTTCTTGCCATGTGACAGGAGCGTCCTTGTCCCCAGCTCATGCTGTTCCCTGGAACCTCCTCCTGTAGCCTCATGTCTGGTTCCCAGGCCTCTGATTGTAATTCAAATGTTACCTTGTCAGCGAGCCTTCTCACTCCACTGCTTCATCACCTTTCTCTGCTTTGTTTCTCTCCGTAGTCCCACCTTTTCTAGCATCCTCCATCTCTTCATGATTTCGGGTACCGTCCATTCTTTCCCACTAGAATGTAGCCCCTCCAGTGCAGGAGTGTTAGTTCCATTCACGGCTGGGTCCCCCATGGCCACAGCCATGTGCGGCACTGAATACGTGCTTGGTATCCTGTGCCAACCACCTTACTCGGTGCGTGTCCTCCCCTCCCGCAGATCCTGATTTACCACCCGGCCTTCATCAAGTACGTCTTCGACAACTGGCTGCAGGGCCACGGACGGTACCCGTCCACCGGCATCCTCTCGGTCATCTTCTCGCTGCATATCTGTGATGAGGTACGCCCACTGGCCCCCGGGACGGGAGCGCCTCATCCTGTGTTGCCAGGGGAGGCGGCGAGAGCGGCTGCAGTCAGGCTGACCTCCATCCTCACTCCAAGCCCCAGCAGAGCCCATCTCCTCTGGAAGCTCGGATCCCATCTCTACCGTGGGGCTTGCAATGCCCCCCGAGTAGAATGCTTCAAAGAGTGACGGTGTGCTCCTTCTCTGCGACCTCTCACTGCAGAGCCGGGTCTTACGGGTGGAAGCTCAGATCTGGGGGCACAATGAAGGAGCAGATGATAATGGAGCTGTCTGGGGCTGTGGTTTCAATCTCAGCTGCACATTAAAATCATCTGTGGGGCTAAATTCCAGCCCCTGGCCACAGCCCAGTCCACTGCCACCAGGGGTTCCACTGTTCACCAAGGCTGAGAACCAGTGATCTTGCCCAGCGTGTGTTTTGCATTGTGGACTCGCCTCGCTGTTGGCCAGGCTGTGCCCGGGTTTCCACGGACAATCTAGGGTGCTCTCCGCACCTGGGTATCAGGCACCTGGCCACAAGGCACCCCACTTCCTCCCGGGCCCTGGGTTCAGGCAGGACACTCAGATGTCCCTTCTTCTCACGTACAGCCCATTCCCGCCCCCACCCCACCAGGCTCAAAGTTGGAAATCCCAGGGCAGTGTTGGGGGGTGGGTAGCAAGTCCCACCCACCATCTCTGGCCCTGTAGTTCTGCCAACATCTCCTGTCCTTCAGCCCCAAACCTGGGTGTCCCACCCCCAAACCATGCCTCCCTCTTACCCCCCCACCTAACCCCGACCTCCCGTCTGCTGTGACCTCTCTTCCCTCCTGCTCTGGGGTGGGCCTGGGTCCACACTGGCATTTACTGGAAAGGCTGCACTTGCCGCAGATCTGTCTCCTGCCCCTGGTGGGTCCCCAGCCCTGAGGCCTGACCGCCATGCGGCAGCCCACGCAGCTCGCCCTCCCTGAGAGCCCTACCCCATGTCTCTCCCCGGGCATCCTGCACTTACTTTCCAAGACCCGACTCAAATGCCACCTGCTCGGACGAGCTCCCTCTGCCCTCTCTGGCCTCTGGCTCCTCCCTCCCCAGCCCTGTGGGAGCCCTGGCCTTGGCCCCTGTCCGTCCAGGTAGCCCAGTTGGTTCTTTTCATAGGTGAGAAGCTCAAGGGCTAAGGCCTGACTCCCGGAGCCCAAATTTCCCCAGCGGCCGCCTGAGCGCTGATGGATTTAATGCAGCACTTGGCACAGAATAAGGGCTCAGCAAATGCTCGTCCCTTGAAAGGAAGTCCCCCCCATCCTGCCTGCTGGGCTTTGAGGACCCCTGGGCCAGATGGATCTTAGTCTAAGGGAGGAGAAGGATCAGCACTTACTACCCACCTCACTGTGGTCATCACTCTTGGCCCCATTTTCCAGATGAGGAAAATGAGGCTCAGAGAAGTGGTTTGACACTTGCAAGGTGTACCAATGAGAGGCAAAGTTGAGGCTGGGGCAGCTGCTGGGCTTCAAAGCCCCGCTCCTCGAGCGTTGGAGAAGAGGTTGTACCTCCCCAAAGATGGACCCAGCACCTTCCGGGCCACCCGCACGCAGTAGCCTCCCATGTGCCTCCCGGCATTGGACTTGACTTTTACTTAACTTGCCTTTGCTTCACCACGCCCCCAGGGGTACCAGGGCCCTAGAGAAGCGCCGATATGTATCCTTAGGAGGGGTGTTTACGGATTCTGGGGGTGCCTGCGGGCTCCCTTTCCTAGCGGTTCCCCCTGCAGCCGTGCTCTCCGGTCCTCACCTTTGCTTTGGCCCCGCAGGTGGATTTGTACGGCTTCGGGGCAGACAGCAAAGGGAACTGGCACCACTACTGGGAGAACAACCCAACGGCAGGAGCTTTTCGAAAGACCGGGGTACACGACGGGGACTTTGAGTCCAACGTGACGGCCACCTTGGCATCCATCGACAAAATCCGGATATTCAAGGGGAGATGACGCTGTGAAGTGTCAAGGACTGATGCGCCAGAGCACGCCTCTCCGTGTCCTGTCCCAGCTTCTTGCCAGAGCCGTTCGGTTCTGGGAACTTTGAGGGCCAGCCCCAGGGGTGTGCCCAGGTGCCCCTTGAGCCTCTTGCACCCCAACATTTGGCAGCATCTACTCAGCAAGGTCGCCAAGCCCTGCCAGGGCTGCAGAGCAAATCTCAGGACCCGTCTCGGGTGGGGAGAACCCCCTCACTGCTGTCCCAGGCTGGGAGGAGGTGGGGAGACAGGAGACAGGTCCAATCTGAAGATCCCCACGTTCTAAAGGATGGTTTCCTGGGGAGGATGCGCAGAGACTCCTCTCTGCCGAGGGGTCCAGGGCCAGCACTTTGATTCTCTCTGGGAAGTTCCTGAGGGTGACCTCCAGGACAGCCACGGGGAGCCAGGTGGGCACTGGGGGAAATGACGGCTTTCTCTGCATGGAGCCCGGCCTCTCTCACCAGGCGTGGCCACTCCACCTCCCCTTTCTGCCCAAAGCTCATAGGAGAGGCTCCCCACACCAAAGGTCTTCAGAGCCACTAAGTGTTTCTGACTCCAGGAGACGTCCTCTTCCCAGCATGACGTTCTCCTGAGTAACCAATCTTTGTGGTTGTAATGATGGCCAAGAGCAGATCTGACTACTTCCATGTGCCTTTGTATTTGGGGGAGAAATGCATGCACTGGCTGAAATGAGGCAAAAGCCCTTATGTGGCAAAGGGGACCTGGCCATGCTGTCCCCTTTCTCTGTAGCTCCGACAGCTTTTCTAGTTTCCTGAGCCAGCGCCAAAGTTGCACCAAAGCTTGGATGATACTCAGCTCCGCGGAGAAGCCCGTCAACCGTGGACTGTCCATTCTTATTTTCACAGACTGTAACCTTCCAAAGCCACACAGAGGGCCTCCACCAGCCGGCAGGTTCCCCAAGGGTCGATGCTCTGGGCCAGGTCCCTGCTGGCCACCTGCGTGGCATCCCGGGGTTGGGGGTCATCCTAGGAACGTGACCGTCAGAGGGGAGAAGTCATACCTCATCCTTCACTATCCAGCTGCTCTTTCTTCTTTGTCAGCCCTCCTGATTATTTATTGTTTTGTTTTGGTTCTGAAATCCAGCTGATGTCTGCACTTTGTGGCTCTGTTGATCTGGCTTCACCTGGCAGCCGGGGAGTGGGTGCTTGAAGCAAATTTTGTAGGAATTCTATGACTTGAGGTTCAGGGAGTCTAGGGTTTGAGGACAAATCCTGGGGTGTCAGGATGGGAGATTTGCAGAATGCTCTGTACCTCCTCCCCTTCCCGCCCTGCCTCTCTTCTTTCTCTTTGTGGACTTGGATTCAGTCTCAGGCTAGTAATCCCCAACCTAGTGGGACTTCCTTGGGGCTGGGTGGGGAGTAGCATCACAGGCATGAGAGGGCAGTGAGTGTTGGCTCCATTACCGATATTTAATCCAAACAAAAACAACCACCACCACCACCATTTTTCCTGTTGAGAGCCTTACCTAAAAGGCCCCTGATGCTCTGAGGGGGTGTGACTGTTTCCTGGTGGAGGGAGAAGCCGGGGCCGCCTCTGCCACTCCCTGCAGCCCTCAGGTGAGCCCTGCTCTCCTCGGCCTCAGTTTCTTTCTCTGCAAACGGGGAGGGGGTGATTGATGAGAGGTCGTGGGCCGCAGATGGCACCAGGCATTCACAGGGGTCCCTGGAAGCCACATGCCACGTTTGGTTTTCCCTGATTCTCTGTCTATGAGTATTTTCCTGAGGAGTCTTTTCATAGTTTTTATTAGATTCTCAAAGATACAGAATCCAGAAAGTTTTGAAAAACAAATAATCAAACAAACAAAAATCTACTCCAACTTTAAAATTCTCCAAAACTGAAGACCCTCTTGACTGATAAGGGCTCCTCAAGGGCCGTGAGGTCAGATTTCGAACATAAATCCTCGGAGGCTGGAGCTCAGGACGGTGCTTGACGTGACGAGCTGAGCGAGCGGGCGCCGGCTGGCTGGAGCAGCCCGGGACAATCTTTGAGGAAATGGACCCTGATGCAGGGAGCAGCTGGGCTGAGCCCTGAGCTCTGGCCTCTCCCGAAAGCCAAGTCTGTTTGGGGAGGACGGACTGAGAGGGAGGACTCTGCTTCTCTGGGCTGTGCCGAGTCAGGACCGGCCCCTGGAGTGAGGAGGTGTCCACGGCTGAGCTGCGGGCTGCCTGGCCGGTTGCCTGGTGCCCGTCCCATCTCTCTTTCCCTCCCACTCGGCTGTTCAAGCCCCAAGAGGCTTTCTGGCCTGCGGATCCAGCTCTCCCATTTTACAGGTGAGAAAAGCAAGACCAGAGAAGGGAAGTGACTTGCCAGAGTGAACCAATTGTGACAAACAGCACAAGTCAAACAGAATTTGAGTCAAAAGAGGACGCTGTTGGCTCCGTGTTTAAAACATCTAGCATCAGGCTTTCCCACCCGGGCTCATCCAGCCCCTCCAAGAACTGCAGGTCGTGTGGATGTCTGACTCTGCTCTGCCTCACCACCAGCGTCATTCTCACTCTGCCCAGGGTGGGCGGCAGCCGCGGCCTCCCCACCACCCTGCCCGGGGAGGCGGCGACGTCATGCTTCCCCATAGCCCCAGCAGACATCTCTGTGTCTCACTAGCTTAACAACAGCCGCCTCACCAAATAAAAGCCAGCCATTGTGGCCGGGATTCATACACCATTGCCTTAAACCAGGGAAGACCACAGCCGGGGTAACGGTGGCCGGGCACTGGACGAGAGTGTTTCCCATGTGGATCTGGCCATCAGCAGGAGGACGGGAGGCATCCATGCAGGGAGGCTCTCGTGTGTCCATCATATACACTTGGGCTTCCCAGGGCCCTGGGATCCCAGCCCAGGGCTCTTTCTACTCCACAGAGATCTCCTTGGAGCCCGGGCCCCGGGCAGGGAGCAGAGGCTTCCCTGCCTGCAGCAATCAGAGCCGGAAAGGGCCAGGACTGACGGAGGAGAGAGATGTCAGAGACGTCCCAACCTCCCGTCTCCCCCGGGGAGCCAGGAGGATGCTGTCACCTGCAGCCAGAGGCCCCGCCCTCACCCACCTGTTGGGGGAGAAAGGAGGACGGGTTTGTAGTGATCTGGGGCAGAGAAGAAAGTTCTTGAATTGATATCTTTTGATACCCTGGCTTCATCGGGTATCGTCCAGCAAACTATGTGGGCTGAGCATAGGGGGAGAAGCCAGAGACAAGAAAACAGGACAGAAAAGGAAAGCCAGGCAAGAAGGTGGAGCAGACGAGTCCTGCAGCATGAGGGTAGGTTCGCAGGCTCCGTGGCATCTACGTCTCTGCTGTGGCCAGAGGGTGGATTCTACCTCCAAGCACACTGGGCCTCTGGGACAAAGTGGACTGGAATCACAGAGGATGTTTAGAACTGTGATGTTTGCTTTAACTGTTCTCTTCAAGGCAGCCTGAATCCAAAGACGAAATGGAAAACTGAAAAGAACTCACTCTCCCTTGCATGGTTGTGGTCAGAAATGCTTTCTCCAGGGAAGCCCAAGTTCCAAGTGACCCCGGGCCAGCTCAAGATGGCTGGACTTCGGCCACATGCCATCAGGAACTGGCAACTGTCCTCGTCCTTCCGAAGAGCTCAGGGCTGTCACGATGGTGGACATCTGGTTTGTACCAGACGTGGCCACAGGCCACCAGCCAGTCGCCCTCTCCTAGGGTCTGGGCTAACAAGTTTTGAGCCCTCCTCGGGGGCTTTGCAAGACATGTCTGGAAAGAAAAGAAGAGGGTGTGGGGGGAACAGGGGGGCCAGGCAAAGTGGCATCGCTCAGTCCACGCTTTACCAAAAGCACCGCGTCTCCCACAAGCAGCCAGCCTGTCTCTGGCCTCCTGTCTCCCTCCCAGCCCACCCATTGAACTTGACCCCATTGCTCAGCTTCTGAACAGCCTTTGTTGCCCACCTGCCCCAGACCCTGGGCCAGAAGCCAGCTTTAACCTGGGCCTGTGTCAGGAGACCCTCCCCGGCCCTGGTCGGCGGGCCGTCACGTTAGCGCCTAACTGAATTCACGTCAAAGCCAAAGTTTCCCGAGCGCTTTTCCTCCTTTGCAGTCACGTTGGGTTGGTTGGTGACATTTTCAGACGCGCTTTCCCCCCTCTTGCCTCATCCCCATGTTTTGCAGCTGAGTGTTAATCTGAATGCTATTTGAATGAAGTCGGCAAGAGTATCTTCCTCAGCCTCTGCCTTGTTGTTTTTAATTTATTGTTGACCATTTCCAATGATCCAATGATCTGAATCAAAGTGAATAAAAGAGAGCTATTTTATTGTTCAGGTGTGTTTGTCGTTTTTCTGTAAGGGCTGTGCCTTGGTGCTGCCTCTTGGAGTGTCCACTCAGGAGACATGTTCAGTCCTAAAAAGATGCCTCCTGGGTTAGTGTCCGCCCCTACCGCGTGCCCAGAGGCTCAGGGACACGGAAAGTTAGCTTCTCCTCAGATGCAGCTGAGCCTCTCCCTGCTGTGTGACTGCAGCAGGTCACCCGACCTCTCTGAACCTCAGCTGCCTCATTTATCCAATGGGCGCCACAGTATGGAACATCAGAGCAAGTGGGAGATTAAGAATAAATGGAGGAAGCAGGGAGAGTATGGCTGAAGTGGCAGAGCACATGCTTAGCTTGGCCCAAAGTGTAATTAGCATTTGACTTTTTTAGGTGTTATTATCATCATGGCTTTTTTAAACTGTCATATAGTCAGTTTACAATGTGGTGTCAGTTTCTGGTGTACAGCACGTTTCAGTCATACGTATACATGCAGATATTCATTTTCAGATTCTTTTTCATTATAGGTTACTACATGATACTGAATATAGTTCACTCGCCCAATCCAGAACATCCTTTCTCCAGCCCTAAGGAAGGGGTGCTCATGTATAACCTATTACTGCAGAAAGTTAAGTGTCCTGAAAGGCACCTCCGGATCCACAGGTGTCCGGATCAGCTTCCTGTGGGGACCGATCAGTTCTGAGAACCCCTACCCCTCCATGGTTTAGAGCATTTGGACCGGCTTTCCTGAAACTGTGTCCCAAACAGGGAGCTATAGTTAGTGTAGATTTGTGGATTGCTGGAAGATTCCTTCCCTGTGGAAGCCCCCCAAGAAGGGGGCGTGGCTGGATCACAGGCACCCACAGGTCCCGGGAGTCAAAGACCTGGTTTCAGACATGGTCGTCTGTAAACTGGGAAAGATGGTTCCTGACTTGTCTGCCTCATAAGAAAGTGTGAAAAACTAAACTATGTTATATACACACACATTTCATTTGATGAATGTATACAAAGGCCACAGAGAGCTGGAGATGGGCCAGACCAGTTCTCGACCATCAGAAGGTCCCAGTCTTAACGGAGGACAGGCAGAAAGCAACACTGTGAAAAGGGTGAGATTATTAACAATGAACGTGGTTCTCTTTCACACTCTGTTCAACATGCACTAAATGCTTTGCCTGTGTTAATCTCATTTAATTCTGCAACGATCCTGCCGAGCAGCACTGTTTCTTCTAGAGGAGAATTTAACAAGGAAACTGATGAAGTAACTTGCCAGTGAGGAAGGGGTTTAGCCAGGACGTCAAAAGTGAGACTCTGAGTTCCGCACAAGAGCAGGGGGACACAGAACTGTCAGCTTTGCTAGAAACCAAAGCGCTTTGGAGATGAGCCCCCATGGCCTGGTTACCCTGCCCTGGGACTGCCTGGAGCTGCCAGCCTTTCACTGTGACCTTGATTGAGAGCCTGACCAGGAGAGATTGTGGCCACCAGAGGGCGCAGTGGAATCACCTTCAGCCAGATTTTCAGAGCAGGATTGGTTGGGACCAGAAAGAGTTTGAAAACCACATGAGAAAACACACACACCCAGCTCAGAACTTTAAAAAAAAATATTGGCATTGGATATTATCAGGTCCACATCCTCCAGATAAGGAGATTGGGATCTCTGTCACTTAGCCAAGAGAACTGGGTCAAGAGGAAAAGTTGGGACGCAGTTGGAAAATGTCAAAATCCTGAGCTAATGTGGATGGTCTAAAAAGCTTTACATAGTGTCACATTGTCTCACAGGACCTGCTGGACCTCCAGACCTTAGAATTTCACTAGCATCCTACTCTCAACCCTTCCTGTGTGACTCTTTAGCTGTGTAACCTATGGGATAAACCTGATTTCTTGGAACCTTAGTTTGCTCATCTGTCAAATGGATATTAAATGACAGAGTCTATATAAAGCAAAGATGGTAGCATTGCATTCTCCAAGTCCTTTCTGTGTACCAGCATTCATCTTGCCTTTTATCATTCCATCTTCACAAGAGCTCCATAAATGAGATAGTGTTACCACGTTCACGGCAGATCTGAGGTTCAGGGACAGTTAGTTACTTGCCTGTGGCCACATGCTCCTACTAGTTGTCAGGGTTGGGGAGGGGATGCATCTCCCCAGCTGGACCACCAGTCCCTCAAGCATTCCTAGAAGTGAGCGGAGAACCTGACCCAGGTGTAGAATACATGTGTGAGGAGCTGAACTGAGTTGAATGGAATGGATTTATTGTGGAAAGTCTCAAGTTCTAGCATGGGTGCTGGGGTCTCACAGCAAAGATATGGGCAGGGCACATCTTCACCACAGTTCCAAGCTCAGCATCCTCCATCTAGGTGAGGACGAGCATCACTCTGAGCTTTATGCGTCCACACAGGGGTAGTTAGCAATGCTCCACAGAGAACCACGCAGGCAGCCCAAAGGAGGGGAAAAGTTCTCTTACTGAAGTACAAAGTTATTTCCCTTTCTCTGTGAAGATAGAAAGAGGAAGGGAGGGAGGAGAGAGAAAGGGCGGGGGAGAAAGAAAGGAGGGAGGGAGGGAACAAGGGAGAAAGGAGAATCTCCGCTCCCATCCTCACCTGCACAGGTGTATTTTAACAGAGTTGTTATCACAGAGGGGAATCTAATTTTGCATTTTATCAGTTTGTTATTTTGTAACCATATTGTCCACATTGAGACATTGTTTCCCAACCACCATTTCAACTGCAATAAAAGTGCAATAAGAACCTCTATCCAGGAGGCCAGCCTTACTGTGTGTCCGCTGGGCACTGGGCATGGTGTTATGAAACAGAGAGCCCCGCTGCCCGCTGGTGCTCATGGGACAAGAAGGGGAAGGATAGGGAGGGGCAGAGTTGGGAGGGGTCCTTGGATGGGAAACATCACAATTAACTAGGCAAGTCAGGTAGGGAGGGGGCAGGATGCCTGGAGTACCCAGAGGATGCCTCCCTTTGTTAGAAGGAGCCCAGCTCAGGGAGTGATGGATGTCAGCAGGAGCTGGCCAAGTAAGGAGGACAGAGAAGGGTGTCCCAGGTGAACAGAAAAGTACATGCAAAGCCTTTCCTCACCTCCCTTTCCTCATCTCTAAAGTAAGAATGGTACATCAAGAATAAATGAGAAAAAATATATAGAGAGAGGGAGGATATAGCTCAAGTGGTAGAGTGTGTGCTTAGCATGCACGAGGTCCTGGGTTCAATCCCCAGTG